AGTGCTGCCAGTTCTTAGAGGGCAACCCTACCTCCTTGAACTCCAGGCTAGGTTTCTGGGCCCTGGTCACATGGGCCTGGTGTGGACTGTGGACATGGCCAAGGGGTGACAGACTTGGGGTACAGCTCAGGAGGGGGGAGTTGTGTACACGGCTGGGGTGTGGGGAATTGGGGGGCAGGGGGCCAGGGACTGAGCAGATGGCTGGTAGGGGCTGGGAGCTGCCCTTCTGTACTGGGTCTGGAGAAGCCAAGGACAGGGCAGGCAGAAGGCTGATGCTGGCACCACTCTCCTCTGAAAGCATGTGGACGGGTAAGGCAGGGATTCCTGGGGAGAAAGGGACTCACTGTGGGCAGAGCTCTCTCAGCTCAGACCAGCTGAATGGCCTGTGAGCTTAGGCAGGCCTGCAGGGACTGTGTTTACCACCCACCCGCCTGTGCATCCTTTCACAGCATCCTGCACAGCCTGGGCACCTAACTGATAGACAGCAGTGAGTGCTTGTGGCCTGAGAACCATCTTACCTGAGGAACTGGGTGAGGAAGAAGGAGAAGAAATCAGAGTCAGCGATAGGTCCTGCAGAGCTGGGTCTTGTGGGGGCAGCTCAGGGCCTGGGATTCAGGGCAGGCTTATCAGCATTGTAGGTGCTGGGCCCCCAGGTACTCCCCTCTTAGCCTCTCCAGTCCTTACCCTGTGCCCTTTCATCTGGGTCCAGAGAGCTCAGAATTCGCTGGTCATTCTCAGAAATGTGCAGCCATAGGCTGGGGACAGTGTACACAGCTTCTCCCTGTGGGACATGAACACTCAGCTTGGCCCTGGTCCAACTCCTCACCCAGATATTTCCCAAGGGAAGCCCCAGACTAACCATTGCCCTGCGGCGTGAGGTGGCCCAACGGGTGAGTGGGGGTGCTGTGCAAGGGCCTGCCAGCATCAGACAGCTCTCAGCCAGGCGCACTAGTGCCCCCTGATGCTCCTGGTCCTCCTGCACCTCATCCAGAAGTTGCGACAGTGAAAGGCCTGAGGACAGGGGACCAGGGGATGGGCCGAAGCTTAAAGAGGAAGAAGGGTAGTACAGGTGTGGAGGAGGGCTTATTAAGGAAGAAGGAGGTGATGGCTGGAGAGGTCGCTCTACAGGGAGTTAGGAACACTGGCCAACCCATAGAAGTACCTGCATTGGGGGAGGTGGACTCTGAAAGGTGCTCCCTACAGAAACAGAGGGGACAGGTCTGAGGAACAATCCTGAGGCCTGTCTACACAGACTTGCCATCCCCTGACCGAGCCACTCTTGGCCCCAGAGCCCAACCCCAGACTCACGCCAGGCAGTCATAGAGCTTTTTCTGCACATCCGGGTCCTGGTTGCTGGGAAAAAGAGGAAGGTAGTAGGCAGTCCGTGTTACTAAGGGCCCAAGCTCTCCCACCCAAAAGGCCTATGCCAACGCCAGCCAGGCACGGGTGAGGAGAACAGCTGGAGGGTGGAATCATCACTTACCAACCAGTCACCCGTTCCCGGGGCTGCTCCGTGGGAAGCAGGCTGAAGCGGTCCACCTGAAGGTAGAACTCCGCAGGCTGGAGAGTGAGTTCAGGGACGGGTCTCAGGAGTAGCGACGAAGAGTCAGGCCCAGTAACCCGCCCAAGCCAGCCTTACCACTCACCGCGCCGCCTTCGGCGACTTGGACTCTGACGTCGCAGTCCTGCAGCAGCAGCAGCCGACCTTCTGACCCTCGGAAGCCGAACTCCTTATCCTCCCTGCAGCGAGTGCCACCGTCACTGTCTAGCCTGCCTGAACACAGCCCCGCCCACCTTGGGCTCAGGCCTTGCGCCCTCCCGCTGGACTCCGAGCTCCCCGGGCCCCGGAGGACCTCTCTCACCAGTCCGAGGTGTTCACGGCTTCCCGCGTCACTAGGCATCGGACACTGTAGGTCCCGTCGGACACAAGCAGTGCGGCCCCCACGTCAGGGGTGTCAGGGGCGCGGGACGGGCCCGGGCCCTCGTCGTCCTGCAGAACCTGACAGCGGCGACCCGCGTCAATCCCACCGCCCTGGGGCCCCGCCCTGGTCTCCGGGCCCTGAAGCGGGTAGGCGGCTCACCTCGAGCAGTTGCCCCGCCCGCGGACTTGAGAGTGCCTCTGACCCCAGGACCAGCTCTCGAATCCAGGGCCGCAGAACAAGGGTCCCCAAACTTGCCATTCCCGCGGTAGCACCCAGCGGCGCACCACCGGCCCGGGTTTCCCGCGGTCGCCGCGGCCGCACCTCTCGTCGGAAGAGGAAGCGCAGGACGGCTGGGCGGGGCCTGAGGTTTGAGGCCCCGCCCCTGTACGTGCCCGCGCGTGCGCACGAGCGCGTCTAGTTCGAGAACTTGTGTGCCGGCTCCTGTTGTCTCGACTGGATGCTGGCCTTCTTACTCTTACCGGGGCATCTGTCCGAGCAGCGGCCTGGCGTTTGGGCTGTACGTCAAGACTCCCGGCAACGGCAGGAAGGGGCCAAGAGCTGGCTCGGATGGAGAGGGGAGGATGTGGGGCCTGAGGCTGCGGCTAAGGCTGGTCCGAGCGAGTTGGCTTGAAGCCAGTTCAATACCGTGTGACCCCGAGGGGTTCAGCAAATATTTATTATGACTCATCTACAATATGCGCGGTCTTGTAAGGCCGGTAGAAGTAACGGTACACAGCACTCAGTGTCACTTCCCTCACTCTCCTTTCGGATTGGCCGAGCCCCTCCCCCACACTCCGCGGCGCGCGGATCGTAGCGTAATGACGAAAGAGCACGAGAAGCCGTCCACCCCCATCTCCGTTTCCTAGGAAACGTGGACTCCGTGTTCCACTCTCCGTCGCTACCCACTTGACGTCATGGTCTGGATGGGAGGGCGGGGCAAGCGCTATCGCTAGGGGCGGGGCGGCGTGGGCCGGCCGGCCGGGCTGTGCACCTGCACCTCGGCGGGCCGCCTGGGGCACCGTCCCCGGCCCGCCCGGCCCCGCCATGGCCAGGCCACAGAGGACCCCAGCGCGCAGTCCCGACAGCATCGTCGAGGTGAAGAGCAAAGTAAGGGCCCCTCCGACCCCGGCTCCGTCCTCGACCCTAGGCGCTTCCAATTCCTTCATTCTCCCCTTCCTGGCTCCTTGGTCGCCACTACCTTTTTCTCTTCTCCATCCTCCACGTCCCATTCTCCAGCTTTTCTTCTCGCTTTCCCCTATCCATCCTCCTCCCTTCCACTGCCGGCCTCCAGAGTCCCTCTGTGGCCTGGGTACCTGGAGGGCGGGAGAAGACCTTGGACAGCGTCCCTTGTTCTGGTGCTGAGGTCTGGGCGTAAGGCTGCAGCTGTTGCAGCAGCCCTATCTTTCCTACGCCTGCCACCCGCAGACCTGTGGTGAGAAAGGGCGCGGGCTCCGTCCTAACCCCTCCGCTCCCCTCACCCCCTGCCTCCAGTTTGACGCCGAGTTCCGACGCTTCGCGCTGCCCCGCGCTTCGGTGAGCGGCTTCCAAGAGTTCTCGCGGTTGCTGCGTGCGGTGCACCAGATCCCGGGCCTGGACGTGCTGCTTGGCTATACGGATGCTCACGGCGACCTACTGCCCCTCACCAACGACGACAGCCTGCACCGTGCCCTGGCCAGCGGGCCCCCGCCGCTGCGCCTGCTAGTGCAGAAGCGGGGTGAGGAGGATGGGGTACAGTGGGCAGCCTCTGTGGGGTAGGGTGACAGAGCAGGTCTACGAGGGTTAGTCCATTCCCAGGGCGCCTAGGCTTTACCCTCTGCAGTCCTTGCCCTTGGCCTGACCTCCAAGTGGTAGGAAATAGCTAGAGTGCCCCTTTCCTCAGGCCTGGACCTGATGGAAAAGGGCCTAAGTGGGAGAGCAGGGTTTCTGATCTCAGCGCCCCCCTCTCCTGCAGCAGAAGCTGACTCCAGCGGCCTGGCCTTTGCCTCCAACTCTCTGCAGCGGCGAAAGAAAGGGCTCCTACTTCGACCAGTGGCACCCCTGCGCACCCGGCCTCCCCTGCTAATCAGCCTGCCCCAAGATTTCCGCCAGGTTTCTTCAGTGATTGATGTGGACCTACTGCCTGAGACCCACCGACGGGTGCGGCTACACAAGCATGGTTCTGACCGCCCCCTGGGTTTCTACATCCGAGATGGCATGAGTGTGCGTGTAGCTCCCCAGGGCCTGGAACGGGTTCCAGGCATATTCATCTCCCGCCTTGTACGAGGGGGCCTGGCTGAGAGTACAGGGCTGCTGGCGGTCAGTGATGAAATCCTCGAGGTCAATGGCATTGAGGTGGCTGGGAAGACTTTGGACCAAGTGACAGACATGATGGTTGCCAACAGCCACAACCTCATCGTCACTGTCAAGCCAGCTAATCAGCGCAATAATGTGATGCGTGGGGCATCTGGGCGTCTGACAGGGCCTTCCTCTGCTGGGTCTGGGCCTGCTGAGGCTGATAGTGATGATGACAGCAGTGATCTTGTCATTGAGAACCGCCAGCCTTCCTGTTCCAATGGGCTGTCTCAGGGGCCTCCATGCTGGGACCTGCGCCCAGGCCGCCTATTTCCTGGTGCCCGCAGCTCTCTGCCCTCCCTGGATGATCAGGAGCAGGCCAGCTCTGGCTGGGGGAGTAGCATGCGAGGAGATGGTAGTGGCTTCAGCCTCTGACAGGCAAGGATGCAGCTCCTTACCACTCTAGGCTTCTGGGACATGGCAGGGACTTCCCTAGTGGGGGTTTTTAGTTTGCTTACAGGGCCCTCTCAGTCTGGGGAACATTAAAGGTTTTCTACAAATGCAGTCATGGTCCTTCTGTGTCCCAGCCCTAGCCTCCTCCCTGATCCCACAATCTTGCTTTCTGCCCTGGATGTGAGGCAAGAGTGATAAAGGCAGCAGGGAGACCTTCCTGCAGTCAAGCAGCAGGAGGGCCACCAGGCTTGGCATTTCTAGGATAAGAAAAGCTCTTATGGAAACAAACCCCACTGTGTACAAAAGTTTTAATTTTGACAAAGGGGTAAAGAGGCTGGGATGGCCCTTCTACAACCACCAGTGTCTGGAAAGAGTGCTCTGGGGATACTGCCCGCTCCACTGCTCCTGTCTTCGGACTCCACTCTGTGATGCGGCCCAACCCTCTTTGCAACCATGTGGCGATCCTCAGTGAGGATCTCCATCACTGTTCCCATAAAAGGGCTCAGGCATCCATCTTCACAAAGACCTTGGGGCGGGAAAAGATCTTGATGGCCTCTTCTACCTCCACCAGCTTCCGGTCCAGCTCAGCACGGTGGCCTTGAGCCCTCAGTGAGTCTGCACCAGCAGGCAGCAACACCAGCTCACGCAGCAGCTGGCGCTGGCCTACAGGGCACCCAGGAACAGTGAGTGCTGGGCAGAGGTGCATGGTCCCCAGTGGGCTCCCCATCCAGCTCCCCTTGCCCGTGTACTCACTCTGGAGTAGATTGTTCAGTGTTTCTAGCCGCTGGTTCTCAGGCATGCGAGTGTGGCCAGGGGGCATGGCAGGGTCCGGCTGGCTATGCTGGCGGGCCTCTGCCTCCTGCCGCCACAGATCCTTGCGCTCCAACAAGCTGCAGATGCACAGGGTCAGGATTGATGATCCCAGGGAAGATGTTGGCTCCCACCCTCCACAAGTACCCCTCACCCTGGGTGTTGGGCAGTGGAACTTACTAATGGGGCACATGGCCCTTCTGTGTGGCATTGTAGTGTTCCTGGGCTTGCCTTTGCTGCTCCAGCACCTGTGCCAGGACCTGCAGTGAGCGGGAATGCCGCCGGGGGGCCCTCTTGGCAGTGCGGGCATTGTGGCTAATGAAGTCCACACCCAGGCCTGGTCCCTGCAGGACATGGCAAGCATGATGGGGCAGACAGCACTGTATTGTGGCCTGAAACCCCCAGGCTCCTTGCCCCACCTCCCAGGCCCCACACATCCTCTCACCTTAGCATTGGGACCTGATGGGGTTAGCTGGGGACTGGGAACACGGGGTGGTGGGAGCCCAGGGCCGCAGCGGGAATGCGCCCGTAGGAAGTGGGCAGGCTCTGTCCCAGAGACAGGGCTGGGCTCCTGGAGGGCAAGGCATAGCAGAGGTATTAGTTAGGTGGAGGTCAGGGTCTCAAGCCATAAGACCAAGTCTCTGTCCTTCCTGCCTCTCAAGATCTTTCTCTATGCCCAGCCCTATGGGCCTCCTCCCTCTTGAAGGAGCACTTCTCCTCATCAGCATTTCAACATGTGTCTTTCACATCTTTAAGAAAACAACAGGGGCCAGCCCCGTGGCCAAGGGGTTAAGTTCACGCACTCCACTTTGGTGGCCCAGGGTTTTGCTGGTTCAGATCCTGGGTGTGGACATGGCATCACTTGTTAGGCCATGCTGAGGCAGCATCCCACATGCCACAACTAGAAGGATCCACAACTAAAATATACAACTATGTACTGGGGGGACTTGGGGAGAAAAAGCAGAAAAAAAGAAAACAACAAACTACCCCTTTTTCTACCTCCATTCCTGGCTCCAGCTGCCGTTCTCTTTTTCTCTCCTTCCTAGCCAAGTTTCCTGACTCTGTCCCCACCAAGGTCACTGATGGCTGGCCTCCAAGCCCTCAAATCCAGGGTCACTTCCTTGGTCTCATCATCCTCAGCCTGATCCTCAGTAACACGTGGATTTCACTCCTGAGATCCAGACCTGACTCTCCATCTGCTTCCTGGACACACTCCTACCCCCTGGGAGTCCCACAAATGCTTCAGCTTCAACACAACAACATACCACCTTATTGTTTTTTCTCTCAATCCTGCTCCTTTTTATGAGACCACTGGGTAAAGAAATGGTGCCACTATCTATCCAAGACAGAATCCCACCACCATTTCCCTGTCCCTGCCCTTCCCACTGCCCTGAAAAATAAAGGTTGAAAAATGGATTATATGGTCCTTTATGATGTGGTCCAGCTGACTTCTTAGCCCAACCTGGTGCTCTTCTCCCCTCACAGTGAATTGTACACAGTATCCCCACTGCCCACACTCCCTCTGGACTTAGGACTTCTATCTGTGAGATTCCAAATCTATAGAATGTTCTCTTCCATTCTCTCCTTGCCTAATTCATACTTGACCCTCACCCAGCCATCACCACTTCTGAGAAAGCCCTCAGCACCACCCTACAACAGAACCAGCTATCTCTTAGTCCCCTGTTACCTAAGTCCCCCATGATTCTCCTCTCTCCCCATAACTCAGATCAGGGTATAATTGTCTGTTGGCTAACAAGATAGACAATACTTCTGAATCGCTGAGGCAGGTACCTGCAGCTGGGCCTTGACACGAGACTCCACTTTGTCATATTTGGGAGAGCGCCACAGAGCCTTCAGGGGCCTGGGCTGGCCCTGCTCCCGGCTGCGCTCCTGCTCACGGAAGCGCTTCTGGATCTCTCTGATCCTCCTCAGGTTCTCCTTCTCATGGTCTTTAGGGTCCTTTCCTGCAGAAAAGATGTTGCCAGGATCTGCCCTAATACAGCCCATGCAATCCATCTCACACCAGTTCACACACAGGCCCATACCCTGCCTCCTACAGAAAGATCTCTCTGACCTCTCCATCTAAGTTAGACCCTATTCACATACTCCACCTCATCACCTTGTTCCCTTCCTGATATAGTAATCTTCTTTTATCCTTGATTGTTTTCTACATTTTTATTGTGAAGTGTATCATTAATCATTTGGTATATCATATTCATCTCTTCACTTGTTTATTGTCTCCCACATTGACTCCATGGTGGCCCATGCTTGTCTTCAACCTTGTCTAGCACCTCTAGGGCCTGGCACATAGTAGGCACTCAGCACACAACGCTTCACTGTTGTTTGAATCCATGAAGCTGATCTAGGGTTTCCCGGGACTATCTCATTCAGTCCTCTCCTGTGAGGAGGTAATGCACTTTCCCCTTCTTTTATAGTTGGAGAAACTAAGACTCAGAGAGGCAAAGCCTGAGGCCAGGTCCAGAAAGGAGGAGCAGCCGCTTTTGATCTTAGCTTTTGACCTCAGACCCACCTCTCTGGCCGTTCTGCCCGCAACTTACTCTTGGGAGAGGCCCCTGGGCCTAGAGAGATATCCCCGAGTTGCAGCAACACGCCCCCCACGCCATGCCGGCCACTCTCCAGGATCTCTCGGGCTCCGGGACCGATGCGGGGGCCGCGGGGAGGGGTGGCGTCCTGGTCCAGGTCCAATGTCAACAGGTTCAGCTTCGGCGCGTTTCCCTCAAGGCGCCCTTGAGCTGAGGGGCCGGACGGGGCGGAGTGCGGGGCTCAGTGGTGAAGCGGGGCGGGAACCTCGCTCAGGCCTCGCCGGGGCGGCGGCACCTCCCCACTCACCCGAGGCCGATCGCCGGTAGTAGTCAGGACAGAGCGTAGGGTCTGGGGGGATGGGTCCCGAGATGCGGGACGGGCCCTCGCACATGCCGCCGTCGTCGCCCTGCAACAGTAGACCGAGGCCTGCAGGGCTGAGTTATCTCCGGCCCCGGAACCCTGTCCTCAGCCCGGTACCCCGTTCCTGCCTCCAGACCCTGATCCCGACTGTGCCCTCCATTCCCTCCCGGCCCCCGCCCCGCCTCCCGACCCCGGCCTGCACTCACTGCTTCACCTCCTAGCTCACTTCCCTGCCGGGTTCGCGGCCCCTCCCCTGCAACACCTGCGCAGGGGGTTCACCCGAGCCGTTTTGCCACCCGGGGCTGCAACCCGCCGGGTTTGCTGTTGCCAGGCAACAATAGTTTCCGTCCCTGAGGTCAGGGGGCCAATGCCTCTGGCGCAAAGCCCTCTGGGGCTTGTAGTTCCTGCTGAGAGTGGGAGCAAAGCAGCCGCTAGTAGCCGTTCCCACCCCAGCCCTCGCCTCCCAGCTTGTCTCCACGACCAGCGCAGGGTCTACCAGTCCGGCCCCTCGGGGTCCGTCCATCCCCACCAAGCAACTGTTGAGGATGCTCTGACCGCGTGCAGCCATGGCCTCAGCAGGGGCCGAGAAGCGGCCAGGCACACAGGAGGAGACGGCCGTGGGGCCAGCACAGCTTGCGGAGGCGCTGGGTGGCTGCGCTCGGAGCTCTGAGGTGACCATCAGGCTGTCTAGCCTTCAAACACTTGGCCGCAGTGCTCTACGAGGCAGAACTCTGTGCGATGACCCCCTAACTGCCAGGGCAGGCTCCATAGGCGGGGAGGGGCATAGGCTGGTGCCCTTCACCCGCATTTGGTGTCTGATGTCAGGTGTCTAATGACGGATCCCTGTTGCCTGGCCATGATAATTAGTTACCTATGTGTCACCTCTAGTGTCCAGTGATGGGAGAACAGTGCCTGGTGCCAGCCCATGGGGCCTGCCAGACCCAGAGTGCAGACAAGTGTCCAGCAGGATCAGTCTCAGAGCCATTGCTCCAGCAAGAACGACTCAAGCTGGAGGAAGAGAGGCTCAAGCCAGAGGTGGAGGCACTAGAGGAGAGAGGCCCCAGGGCTATGGGCTCTACTGTGAGGCCCAGTCATGGTCCGAAGAGGAAGCTGGTCAAGTGAGGGGGCTTTCAGAGGGAAGGAGCTGCAGAGCTGGGGGTGGGGGGGGATGGACTTACACCCCAGTAGGATTCCTAAATCCATCCTGTACTCCTGTAGGGTGCATCCTTATTCCCTGCCACCACCATCACTCCTCACCCCTTCTGTCCCTCAAGAGCCCTGGTGTAGGGAATATCCAGAGAGTGAGTCTCAAGGCCTTGAAGGGAACTGAGCTCACATGAGTTCTCAGCCCCTGACCAGCCTGGGGCCTCACTGACCAGAAAAGGGACAAGAATCTGGGCCCAGGGTGGTGGGCAGGCAGGGATATTCCCTAGGTTCAGGACAAAGGAGCCAAGGCTGAAGGCTGGGTCCTCAGGCCTCCTGTCCCCCAGCCTCCCAGGACCTAGTCACCAAGCCCATCCTAGGGCTGAAGCTGAGCTGCTACAGGGGCTGCCACTGCAGAGGGAGGAACCAGAGAGTAGCCAGAGTGAGCCATCACCGTCTGCCAAACAGCACAAAAAAGCCAAGAAGCGCAAGAGTCTGGGGGCCCCAGTGCTCCCAGCTATGGCCAGCACAGTGTCTGCACCCTCAGAGACCATGGGGCTGGAGAGTGAGTGGCAGTGCCTGGGCCTTCCCGTTTCCCCCTGCCTGCTGGACCCTTGACAGGGCACAGCATGGCACTCTAGCCCCTGCCCTGCCCCGGGTCCTTTCAGGAAAGGCCCAGCGCCTGAGGCCCCTGTACCAGTACATCAACTATTGCAACCCGGAGTTGAACCAGGCAGGGGAGGGGGACAGGGAGGCAGAGGCCGAGGTGGACCCTGAGTTGGAGCTGACCCTGGTTCCTGAGGAGGCAGGTGTGGAGCAACTGCAGGCCTTGCTGCACGTGGCAGGTGAGCTGGGCTCAGGCCTCACTTTGCCCTGCCCCAATACATTCGTGTTCCCCACCCATGCTCTAGTTCCCCTGGGAAAGGAGGCTGGAGAGAAGCCTAGGGGTTTGCTCAGCTTGGGGGTCAGCGGCTGCCTCAAGGCTGAGGTGGATAAGTCAACTCAAGTGGACATTGACAAGATGCTAAGTGTCTGCATGGCTTCACTTGTACCCCCACTCTCTCCTCAGTACAAGTGACTGTCCCGCCCCACTCGTGGCTCCCCTCCACCCAAGCCTGAATCACAGCAGCAGCCTATGGGCCTAGGCCCTCAGGTGGAAGGGGGAATTTGGCCTTTGCCCCAACTTGGGACCTTGGACTTGCTGAAAATAAATGTTTTCCTTTTCTCAGACTGTGATTCCCCAAATAAGCTGCCTGAAGAGGAAGAGGCTGGGAAGAAGGGTGGAGGACTCCCCAGTGCAGGGTTTGAAGCCTGACTGGTCATCTGGATTGCCCAGGAATTTGACAAAAATATAGATTTCTGGGCACTATCTCACACTTAACGGAATCAGAATTTACAGGCGTGGGGCCTTGTTCTATGTATTTAAAGGCTCCTCAGATGAACCTGAAGGTCTGATAGGAGAACAGTGGGGATGGAGAGGGAGGTGATAAGGAGGAACTTGGGGCAGAGAAAGGAAAGGGACTGTCAGGTCATGGGAAACAGGTACTTGGTCTTGCTCCATCTCCCAGGGAAGGGGCCTGCATTTGGTCTGACCTCGAGGGGGCCAACACTTGGGATTCCTACTCTAGGGTGGCACAGTTGACTTATCAGTGCCAAGAGTGGCAGCTTTGAAATGCTTTCCACTTATTGCTAGACCACAACTGAACCAGACTTTGCCCCCAGAGTGGCCCCTGGTGAGAGAGGCATCGGTCCCTTTTTCCCGGCAGGCAGGGGATGATGAATGACTGCTGCTTCTTGCCCTCAGGGGTCTCCGGGAGGAGGCAGCCAGTGTTATTTTGGAAACCCTCATATCCTGCTGCCTCCTGATCTTCCTACATGTCCCTGAGACACCTTCAACACAGGGAATTCCAAATTAAATGAATAATTTCTCCCCCCTCCAACCTGCTTTCCCTCCTGTATCTCATCTACACAAATGTTCAAGCCAAAATCCTGAGTGTCACCCTAGACCTCAGACCTTATCCTGCTCATTGACTCCTACAAGCTAATCAGGTATCAAGGCTGGTAAATCTACCCTCTCAGACTGAGACCCTCTTGGACCCCATGGTCAGCACCCTTGCCTGGGACACTGTCATCTCTGGGCAAGAGCTCACTAGTCTCCCTGCCTGTGGTCCCTTGCCCCAGCAATCCTGCTACATACCCCTGAATCCCTGATGGTGTTGCTTCCCCTCTAGCACCCTGCTCCTCTTGCCCCAGCTGCCTGTAATTCCCTGACCAGCCACACCTTTTCTTACCTTCACTCTGCACGTGGGGCTTCTCCTGTCTGAAATGCCTTTATTCTCTCATCCCTCCACCCAGCTAGTGCACACGTACCCTCGAAGACTCCAGGCATCTTGCTTCCTGCTGAGTTAGGCAGCACCCAGTATTGCCCTGCATTGTAGCATCTACATATACTATCACTGTGGGTTATAATTGTCTCCAGGACTAGACTGTGAACTCCCAAGGGCACACATCACCACATTACATCACCAAGCAGAGGGCCCCCATAAAGGCATCAAGATCAGGAGACCAAGGTGGGGAGCTGAGGAAGCTGCAGAGGGACAGGTCAGGATCTGAAAGGCTGAGGCCATCCAAAGTCCAGAACCATGTGTGGGAACCCTGGAATAATGGCCTGGTAAGGTCATCAGAAGGGATGGGGTGGGCAGGCCCAGATGGAAGATGTAGGAAGAAAATGGGGACCGTCCTAGGCTGCTGCCTCCTTTAGGGGTCACTTAGATGCTCACCAGCCCCATGGCAAAGCCACAGGGCAAGCCATGGGATGAGGATATTTCTTCTTTCCGCCTACATTTTTCCCTGGGGAGTGATTTTACCACCCCAGGAGATACTGTCTATAGGGATGAACATGGATTCTCTGGGATTTTTCAGAGGTAGAGGGCTCTTCAGATAAATGAGCTTGACCTCCTCACTATGGCTGAGGAAGCAGAGGCCTGGAGAGAAGTGGCCTTGCATGAGACCACACCCTGGGCCCCAGGGAGGCCCTGCCCTTTCCAGAGCTCTGCAGATCTGTGGACCTGGGAGCTCTCTGGCTAAGGCCTGACCCAAGAAGGCCAAGCAGATGCTTTCTCTGTATGGTCTCCAGGGATAGAGGTGTGGGCCAGGTCAGCACTGATAAGGAAGCACTGTTCTTATCTTTCAACAGGTGATACAGAAAATAGTAACCATATTAGAAAGAACCAGTCTACATTTCCTGAGGCCGATTACCTGACAGGCTTGTCTAAGGAGGGTGGGAGATAGGAGTCACAGAAAGGTACAAGTCACCACTACTGCTCCTAGAAGCTCACTCTCAGGGGGAAATGCTGAGACAGCATGATATAGGGAGACAGGTGCCATGGAAGAGCTAAGGACCAAGGCCATGGGACCACAGGTGATGGGGGTGACTGACACTTTGCCTAGGGGAGAAGTGGTGAAGAGGTAGCCCTCCAGCTGACTCCTGGAGAGAGTTGGGTGGCCTTCCAGGCAGAGGCTATGGCAGGGATGAAGCCTTGCTAGTGTGAAAGATGTTGGCCTCATGCAGGAGGGCCACATAGGGTGGCTGAAGCAGAGGCATGGCCATCAGGAGACCAGGTTGGGTGAGTCTGGGAGTGATCAGAGGGGTGAAGGCAAGGAGGGATCTTGGCCTGACATTTTGGAAGAGGTCGTTTGGGCAGCAGTGTGAAGGGCAGAACGAGGGAGACTGGGGACAGGCAGGAGACTGCTGCCATTGTCTGGGTGAGTATGAGGCCTAGATTTGGTTGGGGGTTGGAAAATAAGCAACAGGTATTTTGGAGTTCTTTTCTAGTTGCTCTATCAGAGAGGTAAAGCTAACTGCATTTTCACTGGTTTGGAAAAACTTATATTTATTTTTGACCCAAGGAAGATCCTGAGATTTGGGAAATAGGCCATGGGAGGTGATGCTGCCTACCTCCAGGAGGGGGCACTGCAGGACAAGCCTGGAACCAGTTGGGCTCAGTCGCCCCTGGGGACAAGCACCCTGCTGGCTTCCTTAGCCACAGGCATCTGGGCCACTTCAAGATACATCTCCTCTCCCGGACCAACCCAAGACACATACAAAGGCAAAGATGTCTGAGAGACGGCCATGGGTCTGGCTCTGGGGAGTGCCAACAGAGGACCTGGGGTCCTCAATAAGCCCACTGCAGTCTGCCCCAGGACTTCTAGGAATCCATCTTTGTAAACAAGAGGTTTGCTGCAGAGTCCTGAAAAACCTAAGAAGTTCCACTGTGGGTCTGCAAGATGGCCCTTTCTTAAGGAACATCTGAGTCAAACACAATGGATGCATGTGCCTTCTTGGTCAATTCCCAAATTTAGGAGGGATTTAAACATCCTAGTACAGGGCCGGCCCCACAGCAGGGTGGTTAAGTTGGCGCACTTCACTTTGGTGGCCCAGGGTTTTGCCAGTTCAGATCCTGGGTGTGGACATGGCACCGCTCATCAGGTCATGCTGAGGTGGCATCCCACATGCCACAACTAGAATACACAACTATGTACTGGGGGACTCTGGGGAGAAGAAGGAAAAAAGAATTAAAAAAATTTACAAACTCCCCCCACAAATGTCCTAGTAACACACACAGGGACTGATCTGGAGCTGAGCTGATTGTCCCCAGGAGGAAGGGGGCAGCTTCTCCTTCAACTCTACCAGTGTCTGGTCTGGTGGAGCTCTCTCTCTACAGTCTGCCTCCTAGGTCAGATCAGGCTGAGATTCCTGTTGCAGAGAAGGCAGTAAATTGGATGGGGACCAGAGCAGAGAGGTGAAATGCCTGGGCACTCAGAGGCTGAGAAGCCATAAGTGCTGGGGAAAAAGTAGTTCAAGGTCAGGCTCTGTAGTCAGATAACCCTGACCAGGCTCCTGGCACCATCACTTATAACTCACAAAAGGCAGGTAACTTTGTTTCTCTCTGCCTCAGTTTTCTGATGTGAAGAATGACAATATTAATAGTAGTACCTCATATTGTACTTTGGATATTAAATGAATAATACACATGAAGTATCTACCCCAGGGGGCCCAGCATGCAATAAGCATACTCCAACACCAGCCATTGTTATTTTGTCTCACAAGGACAAGGTCTGAAACCAGAACAATACAGGAAAACAGGCCTGGTGACTTCGATAAAGGGTGCCAAGAGGAAGAGGGAGCCCTCTCTGGGCCTTTCTCTTTCTGGCAAGGAGCCCAAGAGAGGGCAGAGAAAGGGAAGTGTAGAGAAGGGAAAGAGTTTGGTTAATCCTTGCAGGCTGGCAGAAGAAACAAAGGGGGTGGATGTGTCCTTTCCCACCACTCGACTCCACCTGAGGGACATGGTTAAAAGGCTATCCCTGTGTAGAACACAAGAAAAGCACAGCTGGTGTGGTTGGTTGGACCAGGCAGTGTTCGGCTATATGCACCCCAAGGGGCAGCGTGTGAGGCCTTCCTCCTCAAGTTCATGCCATCCAGCCTTCCTGGGACCACTCCTCACCTCCCCTCTCCCAGGGGTCCCCTGGAGCCAACTCCATCGTTTCAGGAACGGAATCAGCTCAAGGAGGCCCCAAACTCTCCCACTATCTCACTGAAATGGCAGGCCCAACAGGCCCCCATCAGGAAGTCTTGAGTCCTTGACTTCCCTGAGGAAGGATTTTTCTTTGGAGGGCTCCTGGAATTTGGCCATGAGGGAATAAGCTGGGAGACAAGTGTGGGCAGTGGCAGGAGCCTATATGGTCTACTAGACTGTGATGGAGCCAGAGCAGGTCAAAGCTGCTGTGGAGTCAAGAGGAAAGAGAAAAATATAAACAATCTATAACAATAAACAAGTCTTCTATTATTAAAGAAACCCAACCTATCAACCAACCAACCAACAACCACATGTCATAGTGTCAGACTTTCTCCTTTATTTATTAACATTTGTCAGATGTTCCAGAGCTCTCCCTTGTCTCCTCTCCACCAAATCAGGGGCCCTATGCCCTAGGTCAACAGCCCCTGAGAGCTCACCTAATGAAGAACCCCCCTCTCCCTGCCAGGGGAGGGACAGCCTGGAGCAGGAAGGGCCTGGCTGCATGGGAAGGAGGGCAGATGCGGATCCCTGAGGGATGACTTACTGTCCTGACCATTCCTGAAATGCCCTAGCCCAGGAAGGACATGGAAACACAGCTCTTGTCATTTTTCCTCAGGCCTGAGGAATCCGCCAAGCTGGCTCCTTGCTGTGCTTTCTCATCTAGTTAGGACCACAAATAGGTTGAAGCCGCCGCCAAGTCAAGCTTTTGCTGGCCCTGCTCACCAGCCTAACTATGCAGAGACCTGGTGGCAGCTCCACTCCATGCACATTGTGCTAGCCCTCTCAGCCATGGAAACCGGAAGGTCACTGCCCTGCAAATCCGAGGAGTAAATGAGCACTGGAGGGGGCGTTTCCCCAGGTTACCTTTGGCCTCACCTGGACCCTGCCCAAGTTGACTCATTAAATGAAAGATACTCTGTGCTATAGCCAAACCCTCCCATCATGGCTCCTGGTTTCTCCCTGGCCCCTTTGCCCTGTGGCAGGGAGCCCATGTGCAGGGTCACAGGTTATTCCGCTGGAGTGCTTCACACAGGTTCTGGTTGGTGTCGGGTTCCTCTGTCAGCACCTCCACAGCCTCCCACTCCCCAGATCGGCTTGACCTTTTGATGGCATCCACCACACTCTGCATATACAGCCCATCCTCAAATGAAGCAGCCATGGAGACGGGGGTGTGGTCCCATGTGCGGCGGTCCCCCTGCCCCTGGAAGGACTGGCGCAGGGCCTGCACCATGTAGACCATGCCCTTCAGGTAGAGCAGTGGGACGTCCTGGAGCCCCTGCTCAGGCAGTCCTGCACCCACAGCCAGAGAGTCCCTCAGTAGCAGCTCCTCCTGTGTGGCAGAGTTCTTTTGCCCATAGAGGTCAGCTCCCCGGGCCACAAGGCGTCCCGCAGAGCCCACCACCATGACCTCGTGCACAAAGGCACCTGGCATGTTGAAGTTAAGTGTTACTGTGCTGCACACCCCCCCACCCATGAGCATCTGGAAGAAGCAGAAGTCATCACTGGTGACATGCCGGATGCCACGGATGGCTGCATTCTGCCTCACGAAGGTCTTGAGCAGCCCATGCACCTTCTCAGCTCTCCGGCCAGTCAGGTGGGTCAGCAGGTCCACAATGTAGGTACCCATGGTGTGAAGGCCCCCACCGCCCATGAGCTCGTCGCAGATCCAGCCATAATTGGGGCTGAGCAGACTTCCCGAGTAGATGCGGGCGTCGCAGATCATCACTGCGCCCACATAGTGCTCTGCAATCAGCTGCTTCATGCGCACAAAAGCAGGCAGGAAGCGCAGCACGTTCCCCACCAGGCTCATCAGCTGTGGGTAGTAGCGTGAGGCTGTCACCATCCGAAAGGCATCCACTGAGGTTGCTGCCTTTTCACAAACCACATTTTTCCCAATACCTGAAAATAAAACACAACAGAAAATCTCAAAGTTCCAAGACATTTACACTGGGGGTAAAAACCCCCAACTCACTTCTTGAAGGCAGACAGATTCAGGAAAGCCTCCTATGAGACCAGACGGTAGCCTGGGACAAGAGGAAAGGTGACTCACTTCAGATGAAAACGGTACCCAGTGACTGGGACTGGAGAAAGAGTATGGGCTGGAGGCAGCAGCGTTAAGTTCTTAAGGGAAAATGAAAGCAGTAGAGGCAGAAGGCGCAAACCAGGAATGGGAAGTAAAAAGAGATGGTATTGATGGTTAATTTTATGTATCAACTGTCCAGGCTACAATGCCCATCAAACATCAGTCTAGATATTGCTAGGAAGGATTTTTTTTTTCAGATGTGATTAACATTTAAACCAGTAGACTTTGAATAAAGCAGATTACCCTCCATAATGTGGGTGGGCCTCACCTAATTAGTTGAAAGCCTTAAGAAAAAAGACAGGTTTCCCAAAGAGGAAGGAATTCTGGCTCCAGATGCAAGTCTACAACATCAACTCTTGCTGAAATTTCCATCCTGTTGCCCCACCTTGCAGATTTCAGACATCAGCTCCTACAATCACATGAGCCAATTCCTTAAAATAAATCTCTATCTCTCTCTTTCTATATATATCCTATTGGTTCTGTTTCTCTGGAGAACACTGTCGAATACAAGTGGGCTGGAGAGGTGGACATGCTTCTTGGACATGCCTATATACTTTTATGCATTTATTAGATCACTAGCTTGAGGCAAGAAAATCTAATCTATATTCCAGGGGATGGGCTTTGCACTCTCAGTTGTAACTGCAGAAAGGGCTCTAAGATTCCCTGCAGATCATTCTCTGAAAACACTGCTCCAACAAAGTTAGTGTAATCAAAAGGCCAGAATGGGGCTGGCCTGGTGGTGCAGGGGTTAAGTTCACACGTTCTGCTTCTCGGCGGCCCGGGGCTCACCAGTTTGGATTCCAGGTGCAGATGTCGCACCGCTTGGCAAGCCATGCTGTGGCAGGCGTCCCATGTATAAAGTAGAGGAAGATGAGCATGGATGTTAGCTCAGGGCCAGTCTTCCTCAGCAAAAAGAGAAGGATTGACAGCAGTTAGCTCAGGGCTAATCTTCTTAAAAAAAAAAAAAAAAAAGGCCAGAAAACTAGAGCCGAAAGGGAGTGAAACCATCTTTTCTATCCTCATACCCATTCTGACTACACTGCAGCTAGGAGGCACTCAGAGAGCAAACCAAAGCTAGACAAAGCCCTGAAGAGAGAGAGCTAGAGGACTGAGCAGCTTCTATATGAGTAAAATAAAAAGATGAATACTCCTCCATGTTTTAAGAAGAAAGCTCATGCAGGTACAAGCAGCCATAAGACACCAACACCTGGGGTATTCCTGTGAGCTTGGGGTGGTTCAAGTAGAAGGAAGCCCTATGCTAATACCTTCAATGGAAAACTTTCAAAGCCCAAAAAGCAGTATGGACTAGACACACACAGGTTTATTGGTGATGGAAAGCTGGGGAAAGGTGAAAACATCCAGTTATTCCATTACTCGCTGTACAGACACTGCCCATGGTAGGCTACTCAAACCCCACTACCCCAATTCCCCCCAAGAAGTCATGGGCTTCTTGAGGGAATAAACTCAAGGTCTGGTGAGAATACCGAGCAATTCTCCCTGCAGATGGCAGGATCAGGGAAGGCTTCATAGGGGAGTGACACTGGGTTATCTTAAAGGGAGCAGATGTTCCAGGGAGCATAAGGGAGAAAGGGCATCCAGACAGAGGGAACTACATGTGCAAAGGCACTCAGGTAGGAAAGGGCCAAGAGTTGGAATTCCTGAAGTCCTGGGTACACGCTAGGAAATGGGCTGGAGTGGTTACATAGCACCTATAAGCAATGTGGGAAACTGGACAGATGGTTGGTAGTATCACTCACAAAGATATTCAAGGGGGGGTGGGGGGGGGGACGGGGGTGGAATCCAAAACTGA